CCCGCCCCTCCTCTTTCATCCCTGCCCCATCCCCTCTTCCTTGCGTGCATTCCCCCACCCCGCCCACCCCCACAACGTGGCCCAGCCCGATAAGATTCTATAAAAAGAAACGCCACAGTTCGAGATTTAGCCCACACTCGGCGGCCATATTTGATCCCCACCGTGGCGTACTGCTCGTGGCGCCGCGAAGAGAGAGAGAGGAGTCTAAACTCCTTGAGTGTGACCGACAACTGGCTTACTGAAATCATCCGACAGCAACAATGAATTTGATTTACTTCCCCTGACAACAGTTGATGCTACATTATGCATAACTCTGATTCGGTTGTTTATCGGGACTTGCAACAAAATAATTAGCTCTGGCTCATCAAAGACAAGATTAGAGGTGTTACAATTAGTACAAAAGTAACAAGCACAAAAGCAATGAGACTACGAGACGAATCATACAATCTTGGTAGTAGTATCTTTTCGGAAGACAGATGTCTCAACAGAGAAATTGAGACGAGAGTACAAAAGGCTAACAGCGTCAGCTACCAGCTTGCCCCACTTCTCAAACATCCCAACATCCCCATTGAGACCAAAGCCAAGCTCACTAACTCTATATTCATCCCCACCTTGGCCTACCAGTGCCAAAAATGGACCCTGACCAAAAGTCTGGAACGTAAGATAACCACCTGCGAGATGAGATATGTCTAAGTAGAGCCGTCAACAAAACCAGAAGGGACATGATCAGAAACAACAAGATCAGAGAAACGGTGGGAGCAACACCTGTCCTCCACTACATTCGAAGACAAACAATAACAATCATGTGGTTTGGACATCTCACACGTATGGCAGCTAACCAGCTCGCCAGTAAAGCGGCAAGCCTCCTACTACTACTACTACATGTGCAGGAATGTATCAGGGTACAAAGCAAGAAGAAGACCAAGAAAGACATGGATCCAGTGATCCAGGGTGTGAAGTGTGAAGGACACCCTGAGAACATACAATATCCCACCCAGCCAGGCAATCAAACTTGTTAGAGACAGGAAGCTCTTTCTCCCCTCGACGCCCTGGAAGTACAAGAGGACGGTTAAAGTAAAGAAAAGTAAATTAGTAACAAGCACAAAGAAAGAGGAGAGATAATGACGGACATTGTTTGAAAGGATAGAAGCACCCGCCGATTACTCACACTCACACATGCACATCGCATCAATGTGTCAAGTTCTTTTCCTGTGAAGGCTTAGCTGTACAAAACTGCTCAAGTGGACTTAATACAGACAGGGGCTGAACACATAGTGCACGTCACAACAACTATTACTTGGCTAACTAACCTCGTCAGAGACAAGCGATATACAATGTTGTGTCTATGGGAAGCTTTATTAAAACAAACTGCTTGTTTTCACACCATCTTGCACATAATTTAGTGGGTGGTTGGCGGGTGCTCTGGCGTGGTTTGCTCCTTTCCTATCAAACATCTATCGTCCTTATCTCCCCTTCTTCCTTTTTAAAGTTTGTTGCTATCTTGTAACACCTCTAATCTTCTGGCGCTCATATGTCCTTATGCATTTGCGAGCGCTGTAAAATCTCTACACAACCCCCCGGGGCGGTGCCATAGAACATAATTCAGGTCATTTAAGAAGCAGACTGTTTCGACCCTGTCTGTCAGGGCCAGGCCAGGCAAAACATGATACAACATCCCAGCAACTATACAATCAGTGCGTACCTCAGTTTGAATTTCTTCTATTTTTGTATCCTCATCTGATGCATTTTCTCCACATCAGCCATTTCCACGTATTTGTCACAGTTAGTTAATTAAGTTAGGACCCTCTGGGTAGAAAATCTTCCCAAACCAGGGACTGATTTCACATTATCTGCGTGCAAGTTTTACATAAAAAACCTTGTTGGGGCCCTTTCACATCTATTCCAGCCTTACACATTGCTCAAATATTGTATCAAATATATAGAGAAGCTACACATTTTCAAAAGAATTTATAAAAAATAGCAGCAAGCTCTTTCGTTTAAGTTGAAAGTATAAAAAAAACTATTTGCTCTTCCACACAACTGAAAAATTAACAAACAACCAGGAATTAAGCAGGATCATTCCTAGGCTAATACATGTTATATAGGGTGAACAACAAATAAATGAATCTGCTTATGAAGGAGACAATATGAAAAATAATTTTATTACTGAAAATATTGTAATGAATATCCTACCATCTGATTCTGAGGTTGGATTAGAGATGATTCTTTAGCACTCAAAAATTTATCTGCTCATTTTTTTCTCTATCTTTTCAAAATAGTTAGTAACAAGCTGAAGCACAAGCTGGTATGCCACATCTCTGTCTGACCCAAGCTGAAATAAGCTAGTGTTATATATTTAATGAACTAAACAAGAAAGGAACACAGGTTCTCTGAAGTTAAGTTTTAGTGACAGTTTTTTAAAACTTTTTTTTTAGTAGAGGTTTTACGGCGCTCGCAACTGCATAAGGTCATATGAGCACCAAGGGGTGGATGTCAACAGAGAATTCCTTACAGGGAATCAGACTTACGCTGCTCACCTCTCTAGCTTCAACAGCACAAAGTCTGCTTTGACTATCAAGGCACCCCGGAAATAAAGGGTCACAAGAGTGTGACAAACATACATAAGAAGTAGAGGAAAATGACGATAATAAGGACAAGGGAAGAAAAAGCAGCAGTTCCCTGTTGTAGTTCAGGCACAGTTATGAGCATGACATTGTTGGATCAGCCCATTTACAATTCTACCGTACATTAGAATGAGAAATGTCCCCCCTTTGGGAATGACCTAAAGACGCTTCAGTCAGAGTGACAGTTTAAGAGCACTCGCAACAAAATGAGGTCACATATAAGTGCCACAGTTTAGAGGTGTTACTAGAAAGTAACATACAAAAAAGAAGGAGACGAGAAAAGGACGATAGGTATTTGATAGGAAAAAAGGAGCAAACTACACCAGAGCACCCATCAACTACTCACACATGAAAATCGAATCAAGGCGTCAAGTTCTTTTTCTGAGAAGGCTTAGCTGTACAAAATTGTTCAAGCGAACTTGATCTAGACAGGAGCTGAATACTTATTTTATGTCCCAACAACTTTTACTAGGCTAACTAATCTTGTCAGAGATAAGCAATATACTAGTGTCGTGTCTATGGGCAGCTTAAAAAAACCCTGCTTTTTTTCACACTCTCTTAAACATAATTTAGGTCATTTCAGAGACAGGCTGTTTTAACCCTAGAAAGTAACATACAAAGAAAACAAGGAGATATAAGGACGACAGATAGGCCTATATGATACGAAAGAGGAAGCAGACCACACCAGAGCACCCGCCAACAATCCACAT